GAGCGCGGGCCCATGTCACGGTGAGTGAGCTTGAACCAAGCCTTGGCGAATGCATCGGCGAATTGATCCGGGTTCTCGAGGAAACGTCTCGAAATCTTCTCGTACTCGGGGTCAAAGCGGAGCGACAAGTCGGTCGTCAACATAGTGGGAAGCTGCTTCTTGCTGGAATCGAAGGCATGGGGAATAATGGGCTCGGCGTTCTTGGCCACCCACTGATTGGCACCAGCGGGACTCTTGGTAAGCTCCCAGTCGAACTTGAACAGGTACTCGAAGTACTTGTTGCTCCACTTGGTGGGAGTTGCAGTCCAGGTGACCTCCAGACCACTGGTGATGGTGTCGGCACCCTTGCCAGTACCGTGCTTGTTGGCCCAGCCAAAACCCTGGGCCTCGAGACCAGAGGCCTCGGGCTCGGCACCAACGTTGCTGTCGGGAGCAGCGCCGTGAGTCTTGCCGAAAGTATGACCACCAGCGATGAGAGCAACCGTCTCCTCGTCGTTCATAGCCATGCGTCCAAAGGTGACGCGAATGTCTCTGGCAGCAGCAACCGGGTCGGGGTTACCATCGGGACCCTCAGGGTTCACGTAAATGAGACCCATGTGGGCAGCACCAAGTGGTGACTCCAAATCGCGGGTGTGAATGTCTGACTTGCTCTTGGTGTCCTGGGAGCCATCGAGGACGCCCTGCTCGGACTTGCCTTCGTGACCGTGGGAGTAACGGACGTCGTTGCCGAGCCATGTGGTTTCGCCACCCCAGTAAACGGACTCATCAGCCTCCCAGGTGTCGGGACGTCCGCCAGAGAATCCAGCGGTCTGGAAGCCCATTGACTCGAGAGCAACGTTTCCGGCCAAAATCATGAGATCAGCCCAAGAGATCTTGTTACCGTACTTTTGCTTGATGGGCCACAACAGGCGGCGGGCCTTGTCAAGACTGACATTGTCGGGCCAACTGTTGAGAGGGGCGAAACGTTGCTGACCCTGTGAGGAGCGATCATTAGCATCTCGTCTGCTAAGAGAGATCCGTTGGGTTTGCCGGAGCAACTTACCTCACCACCACCGCCGCGACCGTCGTGGACACGGTAGGTGCCGGCGCTGTGCCATGCCATACGGATGAAGAGACCTCCGTAGTGGCCAAAGTCGGCGGGCCACCAATCCTGAGAATCGGTCATCAGAGCCGTCAGGTCCTTCTTGACGCCATCGTAGTCAAGGGTCTTGAAGGCAGAGACGTAGTCAAAGTCACCACCTAACGGGTTGGTAACAGGAGTGTGCTGGCGAAGGATGTTGAGCTTGAGGGAATCGGGCCACCAGTCGCGGTTCTTGGTGCCGCCACCTCCCGTGTTCATGGTCCGAATGAAGGGACACTTTTCCTCGGCCATGGTGTCTGATTATGCGTATTGTTTCTTTGGTATGTGTTTCGATGTGTTGCCTGGTAGAAGGTGGATTGATGTTTCTTTTGAACCGTCAATCGTCGGATTGTGTAGAAGGAGAGAAGGCCAAAAAGAAAAGAGTTCGCTTCTGGGAATCCTCGGCAAGTGGAAGGAGGCGACCCCGCGTTTTATGCCATGGCCCCCCCTCCCCCTCACTCATTGCATGACCAATGGGCCGAATCTTGTTGGCGGTTGAGGGGTGGGTGGTCAAGGGCCGAGTACATAGTAAGAACCACTGTGCACTTTCATCTCTTTCCTATTAATGCTGCACTAACGTATGACAGCAGGAACTATGCCGTAGTCATGTTGGTGTGGGTGGGGGTTCTTGAGATTTGGGCGGAAGGCGTTCAGGGTAGCTCGGGGCGGAATGACAAATGATGGGAGGCGACGGCCATGTTTTCTCAAGGGTCTTTTGGTCTTTGGTTGTTCGAGAACGCCCGACGAACGGCTAGTCGTTGTCTCGTTGTCTCATTGCCCCCGCCAGTTTGGTCACGTAGAAATCTAGGCTTTGCAGCGCGATACCGGCTCGGAGATTCGAGATGTGCTCGAGGAGGCGCAGGCCACTTGGATGCTGTGAGGGGCCGAGGGAAGTTATCGCGGTGTTAGGGAACGGGTAGAGCAGGCTCATGTAGCTATGACGCGGACATTCAAATGTTTGTCGGCGGCCCCTAGCAAAGGTCGGAGAGATTGCCACATTGGTGCGTTAGCCTCACAGTCTGTAAAAGATGCAACAATACCGTGAGCTTGCGTGACCAGCATGGAACAGTAGCTTGGGCCGATTCGATATGCCGTGCGGGGAGGATCCATCGACCCATTCGACAGCTGCCGCTTGCTCTCCGAGCCGGGGAAGAGGCAGTAGGTGTTCAGTACTGCCAAAGAGCATGTAAGAGAACAGAGATGGGATGTGGCAGAGTTTGGACTGTCTGTAGCTGCAGGTCAAGGTGTACGCAGTATGGAGCGCGGGAATGTGAGGTGAGGACCCTTGCGTCCAATTAAAACAGAGGTGATAAGCAGCGGATAGCCATGCCGCCATGTGAAATGTGTGGAACGGGGTACTCCTCCATACAATACCTTACCACAACTACATGGAACATTAAGGTAAGGTGCGTTAGACAGTGACATCGGAACCCAGCGGAATTGAATGTTCGCTGTTGTGTTCCGTTCGCTCCGACCCGGCTGTGCTCCATTGCTTTACCCCGTTTTGCTCCATTTATCCCCCATTTATGCGACCAAGCGGGGCTGTGTGGTTCAGGAAGGAACTCCCATTGCGTCTGTTGTATGTTCTTTCCCATAGACTGCAGTTGTCCTTTACGGCTTCCGTGAGGAGAATTGAATTGGACGTCTCCTGGTTGGCTGAGACAACCCCGCAAATCGCCTTTTCCTCAGCTGTTTTTGCTGCTCTTCCGAAGCTCCTTCCTTCCCGTTCCCCTCCACTGATGCTACGCGGTACGTGCATGTACGCGCCTACCTTATTAAATCACCTCACTTTACCTTACCTTACATAAGGTACCTCATACAGAATACAGAACCCGGTACGTAACTACCACAGCTATATTTACCCAACTGCAGGCAAAACGGCCAGGGGAGGAGCTTCTTATAAAGTCCACGACGTCACACCCACCCCACTTTGCGACTGCTGCCTCCCACCGCGAAAAGTCGCGGAAAAGTCGAGACCATTGGCTGGGCACTCGCACGCACTGTGAATATCAACGCTAAGTGGAAGAGGAAGTAGACCAAGCCGCCGGACAGCACCTCAAAGGAAACCGCGTCGGGTTGTTGGGGTGACGATCATGGCTAAAATCGCCGGTTTTCGGACCTTCTTGATAATCACTTTGATGGTGTGTAGAGCACACAGAGCACAAGGCCAAGGCTTTGTGTTTAGGGTAACGATATCCCAGTAACACACCCACAACCCTCCATTGGTCGCCGTTCCCCGATATCAACATGAAGATATCTTTTCTTACGACGCCTTCCATGGTCCAGGGTCAGGTCTATGTTCGCCGATCAGAAGAAAACGTCCATTCTAGCATTCGCTACGTAGGACATTGGACTCGGGTGACCTGCGACCTCAAACTCTCATTGCCATTGAGACCATCGTCAGCCAATACTGCCCCCGAGCTTCAACCTTTCCCCCACACTCTTGGCAATTCCGGGATTCGAGCGAAACATCACCGACCCAGTTTCTCGTCGCCCATCCACTCTCTTCCCAAGTTCCCACCCCCGGCCCGTCTGCCAGACCCGTTTCTGTTTCCAGTGTCTCCATTCCCACCGCCGGTGGGCGGGCCCCATCTCACACGTGTCGGCCCCGGTTTTCGTCAATGGTTGATCTCATCGACTTGATTTGAAATAAAAGAGCGATTCTCGAATTCTCCAGCTCCACAGCATGTGACTAATTTCCCAGGCTGATAGTGAGAGTCACCAAGGTTCTCAATTGGAATTCACGATGGGTTTCCAGATGTACGACGAAATTTGGTGCAATGGACCCCTGCGAATGTGAGCGATATCGGCGCCGTTGTATTAATAATTCTTCAGCATGCATGTGAGTCAAAGAGGCAATTTCTTCATCGTCGAGGGCTTGTATGTGTCAACGCCGACTGCAGAGCTGGAGCCTTGACGCAAACCAGATCATTCGGAGCCGATGGCTCGCAGCTCGGGTGAAGCTAATATCGGAAAGTAAGATTTGGAGCCGAAACCTACCTGGACTTCAGTCAAACCTAGCTTGTTGTTGCTTGTATCGTCTCGAATCTCGGTGCTGATGGAGAGGGAGTCGCAGTAAGCTCTGGCCTTCTGGCGCAGACACAGAATGACTGGGGACATGAGCGTTCCGTTCCACCTTGGGCAACTCGACCCGATCAACTAATTAACTGGACAACTCAAACGAACAACTATCAAATCGTTTCTCTCAACTAGTTCAACTTGAGACTCAAAGTTGAGTTGATTACGAGTGCAGCGCCTGCGGGCATTGGATTCAATACCACGGTCCTCATAGGAGCTTGGTACTTACGCAAAGAGGGACATAGGCAGGTACGTAACGACGTAGAAATAAAACGCAGCTCAAAAGTTCCAGATTCCCATTGCTACTCTGATCATCATGTCAAAATTGTGCCTTTCTTATTATCGTTGCTATCATCCCTCTTCTTTGGTCTTTGTTTATTTAGCGGAAAATACACCTTAAGAAGCCGAAGGAAGCCATGGATATGGGGTTCGGTCCCGTCTTAACTCTTATTTTCGACGCAGTCAGCTGAGTGATTAACTTCGCGGGCTTCTTTAAGAACAAAATTAAGAAGAGCTGGCCACCTCTAAAGTCAGTAGCACAACTAGCTAGTTGGGAGGAAGAATTGGGGAGGATTCTGAGCCCTCCGAAGTAGAAGTAGGTGAATAGAAGAGCGGTGGCAAACCCGATTCGACATGCTCTGAGCCCGAAGCTCAGAATTGATAGGTTCTGAAGCGACATCGACGCCACAAGCGGAAGAACCTCATACTATCACACGAGCGTCCTTATTGGGAGATCAACTTTGACAGAAATTGTCGTCAAAGCCCAATCATCTGGCTGCCTGATGAGCTGCTGCTACCCATAATGGATGGTCTTGAGCCAGTCGATCTTTACGTGGTACGCCAAGCATCATTTACCTTTTGGCATATTTATCAGGGAAAAGAAGTCGAGAAGTTCCGGCGTTCAGAGGCCACTTCCCGGGCATGCAGGACAGGTAATTTCGTGAAAGATCCAGCCACCGTCTTGCGAGCCAGACAGCACGCTTTTTGCTCCCAGTGTCTGACAAGGAGACTTTCGCGTGCCACCTATCGTCATGAATATTACCAATACACTAAGCAGGATGAAATGTATTGTTCTCGCTGTGAGTTGCCCTACAGGTACTTGGTATTCTCTGCCGAAGAGCGCAAGAAGCGCCGAGATGTTCGTCTGTGTATCGCGCACGACGGGTTCATACGGCTTTGTTCTCATCTTACGGTGCCGTTCTCTTGGGTCTGGGATAAGACACGTTCGAAGCAAGCCGATTCAGATGAAGCCCGTCAAATCAGATATAACTACAATGTATTCCTTGCGGCCAAAGGTTGCCGCGAGTGTGAAGGCACAGACTTCCAAGACACCACCACCCTGCATCACGAAGGAGCTGCTTCTCGGTGGATCCCTCTGCCTCCGACAATAGCACTCTACGCATTACCAAGGATCTTTGATTGGCTACGCAGAGTGATGATCACGTGGGAGTTGCCGTTATTTAGGATAGTCAAAAACGAAGCCATCACTGTGGACTTCATTATGCAGAAGCTGAAGGAATTTCAAACCAAGTACGGCAATGTCTTTTTCTCTCACTTGGGCCGACACGGAATCACCTCTCAGCTACTCAGGGCTCTCGACCCCCGTCACTGCGGCTGTCTAGGCGGAAACAGCCGGATTGGGCGTCTCGTTGCCTGCAACGAGGCCCGATGGGGGACTCGAGACTGGAGAAGAGCGGGAGGTCGAGAGAGTAGTGCGGAGCTCCTGCCACATAGCGAACACAAAGTTCGCTGCAGGATATGCCCGAGTTCGTACCTATGGGGAAGAGTTGGTCGCCAGATATTTCTATCCCGCTTTTCTTCAGATTTCATCATGGTGACTGATGAGAAGTCTTCGTCTGTTACTAGTCCGTTAGCCAAGTTGCTGGATCCTGAGTCTTACAGGCCGGATTCGGATGACACAACCAAGTATCTCTTCTGGTGCAAAGACGCAAACTGTAGAAACGGTAAAGACTGGGCTGAATACACCAAAGTACTCTGACGAGTTCCAAGTATTCGGGGAGGGGTAGGGTGTTTACTCTGGTGCTTCCGGGTTTCCAAGATAGGGGTACCAGGGTATTCCCAAGAGTCTCGAGAGTCTCGAGATGAGTGGTGTAAAGGTCCAAAGTGGAGAACAAATTCATGAGACGAGACGCACTACGCTTATGGCCCTGATAGGTAGAGAGTAAATTCAAGTTTTGTCAGTTGCGGTGTCATATGGACTTTCACTAGAACCGGCGCAATGCCAGAGCTCAAACGAGAAAGAACATAAGTGGATGTGATGTAGGTTGGATTTGCTAGCCTGCGGTTGATTTGGCCAACAGCCCGGTTCCTTCTATTCCTTTCCCATTCCATAAAGCGTTCGCTATCTAGTAGTTGGCGTTTTCCGGTCCTGCTCACCCAGTTCCACGGAATTCTCCGCCCTCTTGGTCGAGACTACGTTTAGAACCCAGAACTACCAACAATACGCAGAAAGGCGGTAGGTAGAATATATACCGAAAGACAGAGGACAAAACGGAAGACAGAATACAAGACGGAAGACAGAATACAAGATGGCAGGAAGAATACAAGATGGCAGGTGGAATACGTGGATGAGGCGGTAAGTGGAATACGTGAGTGAATGTCAGCCTCTACTGCTAAGTCTTGCTTTAGCCATTCGTTAGCACCAAGTGAACGTCTTGGTCTTCCTTAGTTTTTATAATGGCGAGAATGGCAATAAAACATACGGTTCTTAATATAGGCACACGGTTCTTAGTGCGAATGCATCTGACTGGTTCGAATGCATATCGTATATCGGCATCTCGCCTAAATAACATTTTGGTGCGCTATCATCAAAAACCAGCCTAATGACATATGTTCACTGATGATTGACGTAGTTTCTGGTCTCAAAAAGGGAGCATACCGCTTGCAGAGCCAAAGATCTCGTCGTCAGGTTCGTCTGGTATTGGTTAATTCAGCTAGAACATGTATCGTTCGTCCCATTAGTTCGTCCTAGCTTACTTCCAATGCCAATCGGAAGCATAGAACTGCTCTCAATGCGCTTTTTCCACATCCATTTATATTGCTAGTACTTAGGTATTAGAAGACCAGTGCGCCAATATTCTGTATAGATGTGCCTACTCAAGATAAGGTAGATGAGGTTAATTGAAATAGCATAGATACTCGAGCAAAAGTGGAAGCCTTCTTGAGGTAGTCGATGACATAAGTTCATGTACACTGCACGGTTTCGTTAACATAAGGACACATGATATTAGCTAATCAACTTAATTCCGATTCCTTAATTACTCGTTCAACTTACCGGCTTGACTCATAGACGATGCTGCTGTGCCGTCAAAACAAGAGTACATGTAAGCCTCGGGCGCAATTCGTCCGCGACGAAGCCAAGGCTCAATACGGAACGACTGTGCCTTAATCTCACTCACCCTGCGGAAGATTCCGGCGACAGTTAGCGATAGACGGAACGGGGTCGATTGGTTTTCGGACACGACACAGCCTGTCCGGAGAAAGTCTCCATGCCGGCGGGCAGCTGCATACGTGGGATGGACTTTGGTTCAACCCCTCATGAAGATCATCATACAGTCAGCATAGAAGAAAGACTTCACTGGTCATGTGCACTATCCCAAACGCCGATGTCATCATTCCATCTGCGGTTCAGATGACCTGGGAGTCACTGCATAGACAGGATTCAGCGTATATCTAGACGGTCGTAAGTATATTTGAGCATCATGTACTTGTAAAATCTCCACCGGGAACACAGGCATGTTGTTCTTCATCTTTTCTTCATTCGCTTTAATGGCCTCAGCAGTCGTCATCCCAGGCCCTCCCGGCCCATATCTCGTTGCCTTGCGGGTGAAAGCGTTCGAAGACGCAGCACGATGGGACCCTCACGCCCCTCAAGACCAACCTGAGAAGCGCAGAGTTATGGTCTCCGTCCACGTTCCCCTGAAGAAGGAAGCGAAATGTTCCATCGAAACCGTTCCCTATGTGCCGCCTACCACAGCAGTCGCCCTCGGCCAAGGGGCCGCGACCCTGTTTGGACTACCGGACACCATCTTTTCCGGGATGGAGCTTGAGTTCTGCAACATCGATACTCCTTGCGCCGGGGCCGAGAAAAATGAAGAGTACCCTCTCGTTCTCTTCTCACACGGACGAGCTAGCTCAAGACTTGCGCATGGTGTGCTGGCGCGGTCTCTTGCTAGTTATGGATACATCGTCGTCACTCTGGACCATACGTACGATGCCGCGATCGTTGAGTTCCCTGATGGAATTATCAGATTTGCGGAGAACGCGACGAATAGCGACACGGCTTACGTTAAGAGCCTTCTTGAGGTGAGTCTACTTTTTGCAGAACCTAGCCATGTCGAATCGAAGATACTAAACATCGCTATCCCACAGAGTCGTCAGAAAGATGTCTCTTTCATAATCGACCAGCTTCTGGACCCTTCGGTAGCTACACCGCTCCTCGCTGGGACTCAGGCTTCCATCAACCCAGAGAAGATCTTCATCGCCGGTCATTCCTTCGGAGGCGCTACGGTAGCCTCATCCCTCTATGTCGATGACCGCATCCTCGGCGGCCTCAACTTCGACGGTCAGATGCTCGGACCAGTCCTGGCCGAGGGAATCGATAAACCCCTGGTGCTGGTCGGCACACCGACGACGTTTGACTACATTTCCGGCTGGAATGAGACTTGGGCTAATCTGCGCGGCCCGTCCTTGATGTTGATCGTCAACGGGACAACCCACATGTCTTTCTTCGACGCTCCGCAACTTCCGGCCGTCAAGGCTTTGCCCATAGAGTATTCCGATCTCATCAAGCAGGTTTTGGGCACCATAGACGACGATGTGTTGGCCAAGATTGAGATTGAGCTCTTACGGAGGACATTGGACTTTGTCTTGGAGGGTCACAGAGATGCGTTGTGCAACATTGAGAGCGTCGGCCCTGGTGTTAGCCAGCTGCGAGTCAAGAACTTTAAGTGCTCTTAAACGAGTGTAGGTAGTGTTGGGAGAGAGACTCGCCACTCTGTGCTTTTTAAAAGCTCTACTCAATAGAAGAATAACATGTTCTCCCTTCAAATTGAGGTTTTCACCTCACCAATCCAAGCATGCAGCACGTTGGACTTCGTTGTCTAGGTAAGTATTTCAGATTGCGAGCGTAAGTGGCTACGTCTGAAGATACTACTCTCTGAGCGAATTGAATCTAAATGTAATCAATGGAAATGTTTTGGTCCCCAGAAATGACTGACATGGAAGAGAAACCCCGCGCCCGTTTTGCATCAAAAGAAGCTCTTTGACCACCTGACTGCTCGTGCCGATCAACATATAAGCAAGCCCTTACCATCATAAGCAGCCTTATTGAGATTACCCTATGTAGGCTTCCAAAGATGTTTCCATTAGAGAAAGTAACAAAAGAAGCATCCGGTAAGAGTAGTAGGGCTGGATGCGATAGTCGTAAGAATAAAAGTTGAGGATGTAATGGCGTTTTTTGTACTTGAAATGCATCTCGAGGATTGATAAAGAAAGATCTTTAAGACGTTAGCGAGATCTTAGAAACACCTCAAAGCTGTGCTGACCTAACATTCTCAAGTCCGTCGTTGCTGGTACGTCTAGATCCTGAGGAGTCTCTACGATAGAGGCCCTTCGACTGCAGGTATCCCAAAACAATACTACTTTGAGTTCATTTCTGTAACTTCCTTGGGGAGCCTTGATCAAACCACAACAGGCGTGGCATCCTTCTCTAGCTCAATGAAGCACAAATCTTTCGGAAGATCTAGGCGAGGGAACCGATCAACAGGGAACGGCGAAGTTTCTCCTGTCCTTCGATATCCACAGCGCTCATACCAGGCGAGCAACTTTTCGCGAGATGAAAGGGCATTCAACCCAAACTTCTTGATGTCGTAATGCTTCCAAGCGTAGGCCTGGGCAGAGTCAAGAGTTTGACGCCCGACACCGCTGCGCTGCAGCTGGGGATTCACGGAAAGCATGGCAATTCGGGCCATTTGGGCTTCACGCTTGAAAACAACTTGGACCGAGGTCGCGAGGACGCCGTGGAAGTCAAAGCCCATAAGGACTACTGCATCCGGGTTGTTGATGGTGGCGAGAGCCTCATCGGCTGAGTAGCGGAACGATCTGCCGAGTTCCATGTCGGCCGTCCAATCTGCTCGGCTGTCTTCGGCGCGGAATGCGGCCTCTACGAGCTGTGCGACTTGAGGAGCGTCGTCCTTGGTTGCAACACGGAAAGTTATGGAGATGAGGTCGTTGATCTCGGCCATGTCTGGATGTATGCGGGGTTGTGAATGCAAAGCTAGAAGTGGTTCGATGTCGAAATGTTGATGATGAAGACGAGTGAGTGTTGCCAGATGGAACAATTGGAGATTTTATCGAAAAGCAGGAGAATGGACCTCCTACAAAAAATACCGCATTTGTGATGTGGTTTGAAGGGCGTTTGTCGTGACAAGTCGAAGATATTGGGCGGGCAATTCGTGTAACGGGAAGGGCGTCCATCAGTCAGCCCAATGGCAAGGGCGCAGTGCTTCTGCCTGAAGTTGCAAGAAACCCCCGCAGATGGACGCCAAACACAGGCAACTACATAATGAGGGATACCGGCCTGCTGTTTATTTTTTACGAAACTCAAACCATTCCACCCAAGAATAACCTCATGTTCGGTTCAAGGAAATAAGGTGCTCGCTTGCTTCTAATTTGCGGGATTTGAAGTGGATGCGACGCCTGAAATGCGATAGGTTGGTGTGACTTTATTGATCAGTCGATGTGATGCTATTGCAGCTACTGGTCTCGCTTGTGGTTGAGCATACAGATCAGAATCTGGCTGACGGTTGTTCATAGGTGGCATTGTTGAGTTCACTGCTTCAATCAAAGCCTAGACGCGTCAAACTCGTATTCAAAGTTGTATCGCCAAAGAAAAGAATATTGTCACTAAGCAATCGAGACTCTCAGCTTTCAATAGCAACATTAGCATGTATGCCTTCTATATATTTACATTATGTCTCAACCCAACTGCTTGAGGTATTATGTACTGGAGGTATGTTGAATCTAATTTGCGTATGCCTGGATCATGTATTCATGTACTCGCGTAAATGCTTCCTCTTCCTGAAAATGACTCGCTTGAAAAGACAATGCATCAATCGTCGCGGTGATTAAACAGGGCCGGCAACCACCAGCAAGGCAAGGACAGTGACGCCGAGCGATGCCACATTCCATGTAAGAGCTCCAGCCGCGTTCTGGGATGTCGGAGTAGGAGAGGACGCAGATGCAGCATCAGCAGATGTCGGGCCTGCCGTGGTTGATCCTCCTACAGCCGATGATGCTGCAGTAGGCGTCGCGCTCGCCGGTGAGCTCGAGCTCGCTGGTCCTGACGAGATCGACGTCGTACTGGTCATTGAGGACGATGAGGACGTCGTCGTGTCTGTCTTGCCAACCATCTCCTGCACCCATTTACCCGCGTCGCTGGAGTAGACATCAAAGTAATTGAGGTGGTTGGCCGCGGTGTCTCCGCCGGCGCAGATCGGATCGGATTCAACACAGTACGAGCGCATCACGCTGGAAAAGGCCCGCATGCCCGCAAGCTGGTTCTCCGGCCGTGGGAAGAGTCCGTTGTCCGGAGCTCCCGAGAGATAGTTGTACGGTTGGCTGGCCGTATGTCTTGTATCGCCAAAGATGAGCACAGCAGCGACTGTGAAAGGGTCCGGTATTAGCAACTCCCCGTCCTCACAAGTTGCGACACATGCAAACTTACGTTTGTTGCCGGGCGCCTTGGTGGCATCTAGCCCAGCATTCGCCTTCTGCTGACAACCCTGGAAGAACGTGCCACCTCCACCACCCAAAACGTCACCAACAACATGGCCGCCCTGGGAATATCCGCTCACAACGAGCTTCGCGTCCGGGCAGCGCTTGTTGTACGCCGTGATCTGCGCGGTGCCATTGGCGGCGCCTTCTTCGATGGACTGGCAGTAAGGCGCCTCGAGTGGGTTGTAGAACTGAATGTCCTCGTAGTCGCAGCTGTCGAGCCCGTCGCAGATGGCGGTGACGAGCTTGCCCTGGCGTCCGGGGTAGGGCTCGTTGTTCCCGCGCGCGAGGAATATGTGCACGCTCTGGCAATTTGCGTCGCCTGTGGCCTGGCGCGGGGTGACGATCGCGGTACCCGAGGTCAAGGGTAGCGCGGCGGAGAGGAGGGCGAGAGCCACTGAGAGGGACGAGACCATCGTGAGCTTGATCGAGAGGTTTGCAGCGGCCCGTTTCGTTGTTGGTGACAGAATAGCGAGGACAAGCAGAAGTCAATAGACGAATTGAACGCACGCGACATCGGCTACCAAGCTGGTTTTAACAAGTCTCTCTCTTGCAACGGACTCCCACCCCTTGCGGTTAAGGCTGGAGATAGATGAGATGCCCCAGAGCCGGCGAGCCGGTGGGTGGCATCCCGGAGGCCGTCCGTTACGGGCAAATACGAGTCAACGATAAGCCCTGATCCACCGAGGTCCAGGGATCCCAACTGTCGCAGCCCCGGTCTATCTGCCATAGTAACGTCATGTTCTCCTCTGTGTTGGAACTTAGCGCTGTCAAACAAGGCCTTGCAGGTTCTGACAGACGAGACAAGCAGCTGAGAAGCCCTCCTGATCGCCCGGCAAGTGGGTATTGTCGGGCTCCTGCCGCGACGAAGCGACAAAAACGAAAACAATCATGAAGTCGAATCGTTTAGCCTTCAAGAGTACAGAGTGTGGTTCATGGGATGACTCGCTGAAGTGGTTCTCTTTAGGTGATAGTTTACAAGGAACAACCACGACCAAGAGCTGGCATTGGATGATCATTGACATTGGCCCAATGCGCTTCGCGTTGGAGGCTCTTGTGTTGACGGCGACCAAAATAGACTGGCGGAAGTGTCGGATTGAGTGTGGCTGGTTTGTCTCGCGGTGAACATGGATCAACGAAGCTCTGAGCCCGCTTTCAGGGCAACGGGAATCCCGACGCGGCACTTAAGCTCGTGGAACCGCCGCTATTCGGTGAGCAGAAGTTGCCTCTTTGTTCAACTTTGGGTCAATGTTGAGTCGCTCAGGTTCATCTCAATCAATGCCATGTTGACAGTTGAGCTCAGATGAGTTGCAATCCAAGGCCCCGGGCAACCGAGTTGATTTGAAATTCAGCTGCGACTGCCACATTCGTCAAGCCTCAGGGCATTGTCTCGCAGTAAAGGGATGCCGAGTGGGATGAGAACGCCGCAAACGAGTTTCTCCCGTTACGAAAGACACCTCTTCTGGAAACAGTCGACATTAATCCTTGCAACAGACTTTGGCTTCGAGGTTCTGTGCTGCTATGATGATTTATACTTTAGGTGCAAAATCCAACTATATTCGCTTCACGATGCACTCTTCAAGTCGCTCTGAGATCCTCAAGTCAGGTTCGTGCCAGCCCAATTGCTGTGCCTAACTGCCCACTACCCAGACGTAGAATCAAGCGTTGCATTGCCTTGCATTGCCGGGACGTTACACTGTCGATCCCGTTGCAAGGCAGAATGGCACAGACCGATAGCTTGGCAAAGGTAAGCTAGAATCGCATCATTGAGAACGATAATACGACTGCATCAATTCATCTACCCTCGAACGTATCCCGAATGAATTTGCAATGCCCACACTGCGTTTACGAGATTCGCTGATTACATGGTCGTAAACAACATCTTGGCATTGAAGAGTTGTGGATGAATTCCTCGGGATGCGATAAAGATTGGGTTTAGAGTGCCCGGTTCCCCATTGCGACCTTCCTCATCCTCCATCTCGACCGCTTCAGGGGTACCCGCAGAGGTGCGCCATCATGCCATCCAAGCAGCATCGCACAATACGAGAGCGAGATGGTGGCGGCGCCACGACGACGACTTAAGGTGCGGTTCGTCCCGCGACTTTATTCTGAGTTGTGGTGTCTCGCTTCTCGGACTTTGTCGCCATCTTGACAAGACAGGAGGACAACCCGCCAGCCAGCCAGCCACGATGAAGTTCTTGGCAACGACAACCATTCTCGCATCCTGGGCGACTCTTGGCGTCAGCGCCGCAGTCCAGGAGAGGCAGACTGCGAAGCCTTCTGTCGACTCCGCGAGCTTTCAAGAGCAGATCACTAAGGAGAAGTATGCCTATATGCTCAACATTCCCCTCTCTCTCTCACACGAAACTCATTCCTAACATGATCACAGCCTACAAGCCAACCTGGTCCAACTGAGCGACATCGCAACAGCAAACGGCGGCAACCGCGCCTTCGGCCTCCCAGGCTACGCCGCCTCCGTCGACTACGTCTTCAACCGCATCTCAAGCGCCGCCGGCGCCAAAGTCTGGAAACAGGACTTCTCCGCCACCTACAACACCGAGCTCCGCGCCAACCTCACCATCAACGGCGAGAAATCCACCATCTACGGACTCTACGGGTCTCCCGACACCCCCGCCGAGGGCATCACCGCGCAGCTCGTCGCGGGGCCGGAGGGCACCGCCGCCTGCGAGGCCGCTTCGTACGCCAACCTCGACGTCAGCGGCAAGATTGTGATTGTGACGGAGTCGGTGTGCCCTGGGTACAGGGATGGATTCCACGCTGGTGTAATGAAACCTGCTGCTGCGGCGGGTGCGAGTGCCGTGATTGTTGTCAATGACATCGCGCTGAATCTGACGGCTGGGAACCTTGGTCCGGCTGATGATGGGACGTATGTCCCTACGGGCTTCGTCAACCAGCACATTGGCATTCCGCTCCAGGCTCGGTTGGCGGCTGGGGAGGTGCTGAACGTTTTCTTCTGGGAGGCTGAGGTTGTCGATAGCCGTGTCACGCAAAACGTGTTTGCTGAAACGGAGGGTGGCGATGAAAACAACGTGATTGTAGTAAGTCATTTCCGCCTTGGATAGTATCAGCCAGTCCTCTGACGAGTTTCTAGCTCGGCGCCCATCTGGACAGTGTTGCATGGGGACCAGGTATCAACGATAACGGTAAGAGAAACCCCTCCCATTCACGAATTTCGTCGAATAGTTCCCGAATCCTCACACATATCAGGCTCTGGGACCTCGCTCCTCCTCGAGCTCTTCCTGGCCCTCACGAAGTACACCACCAACAACAAAATCCGCTTCGCGTGGTGGGGTGCCGAAGAAAAGGGCCTCATCGGATCCCGCTACTACGTCAACAACCTCGCCACGCAAGAGCGTGACAACATCCTGGCCTACCTCAACTTCGACATGGTCGCCAAGGGATACTACGGCGTCTTTGACGGCGACGGCGCGTCTTACGGCGTCCCTGCCCCACCCGGTTCCGACGTCATCCAGGAGCTCTTCACCGCCGACTTCGTCGCCAAGGGTATCAATGTGACTGCCGCGAGGTTTACAAACGGCAGTGACTATGCCTCCTTCTGGCAGGTTTTGGGCAAGCCAATCGGCGGTCTTCATACGGGAACCGGCTCTGCGCAGGATCCCTGCTATCATCAGCCGTGCGACGACATCAACAACCCGGATCTTGACCAACTGACGGTCAATGCAAAGGCAAGTGATTCGAGTTTCTTTAAGAGACGTGTTGTAAAATTTCGTTGCTAACTCTCATGGACAGACCACTGCTCATGTGCTGTCCGCCTTGGCCCTCGACGGAACCAACCTGATCAAGAAGCTGACCGCTCGCGTGCTTCCCGCCCGTGCCGCTGTGGCTGAAAGAGTCATCGCGATTGTGGAGGAGTCCGAGGATGAACATCACCATTGCTAATCTGGCACGGTAGAGATAGTAAGCCGTAGCGAATTCAATACCTTTAATGAAAAATGTCGGCGGTTTTCCACTTAAATGCCTGCTCTTCGATGTCTCCTTACGGACGACGTTATCTCCCGTTCCGCCTCTTCCGTGGTGAGTCAATTTTCGGCCAGCGAGCCCACGGTGATATGCGTAGTATGTCTTCTGGAGGCCACTAAAGGTGAAGATTTCGGAATTTGGTGAATCCACTCGAGCACCTCACAAGCGGGGGTATCGGCCATACGAAAGGGGCTGTGACACATAGGTTTACTGGGATGTCCAGTAAAACAGCATCGTCCAGTGTGGCAGGGCTCGCAGAAAGACGACGTCCATTCGGATCCGGTCAGGTGCTCCGGTGACACGATCATGACGCTGGGCGTCACCGATTGCTTCGGGGACAAGATCGAGTCCTAGATCGATGCTGTCACTCCGAGCTCGCGCAGTTTTGACAAGGTCTGATACTGAAGAGACTTCAGAGGACGAGGACCTTCATGCCGATTTCCGGATTCGGTGAAGAGCGACATCATTGCTCGTCGTTGAGATGGTATACAGCAGCGAATAAGCCACAGATGGCGGGAGTCGACTTGAAACAAATCCATGCTCTGTCTTGATCTTGATAATTGATACCTCTGGGTATGGTGTTTCCGTTAGACATCGGGGCTGGACCACATCATAGCGTTGCGACTTAGAAAATACCCGTCAACTACCCAAGGCGGCTATGATTGTATATCATCTGAAGGGCCTAGTTAGCCAAGTGTTTGAATGCACTTCGCCGTGTCTGACGCAAGGTGTCTAAATCACCAGCCAGAAACCAGTTTCCAGAAGCCGTCGATAAGTCTCCAGGAGCCCCCGCCTTCTTCTTTATCCCCTACCACTTCACCTCCCTTCCCTGGAACTACCGTCTCATTCATCTCCGAGACCGCAAGCTTGAAGCCAAAGCCGAGGTCACTCTGCATCATCCGATGCTCCCGCACCATCTCCTCCCTCGTCCGCCTCTCAAGCTCATCCAGCTCCTTCCTCCGCACCTCAATCTCATCAAACTTGGCCTGATACTTGACCGTCAGCCCGTCCTTCTTCCGCTCCGAGATCGCCAGCACCATCTCCATCTCCTCCCTCAGCAGGCCCAGCTTAGCCAGGCACTCGTCCTGCCGCAGCAGCTTCGCGAGGCTCTCTGCGTCAGCGAGGTACGCCTTCACGTCCGCGATGCAGAGAACCTCGCGATGGACGGCTTTATGCCGAATCTGCCTGATCGATTCGAAGAAGGCGTGCCACTCGGTGTGCGGGAGGGGCACTGTCTCGGTCCGGAATGTATCAAACACCTCGTTCTTGAAGATCCACATCCACTTCTGAAGTTCGACGCACTCGGGCGACTCCCACTGTCCTGCTTCCAGGATATTGGGGTGCGCCTGCCTCGCGTAGTCGAAGCAGGCCTTCTCTAGAAGGCTTTGGGTCCTTGTGAAGAGGGCGTGCTGGGCTTCGTAGGATAGGAAGGCGGTGCGCAGCCCGGGGAAAGTTGCGGTCTCTATAGGCGGTTGTCGCTCTATCGCTGTTGTTGTTGTTGTTGTCGTTGACTCGGCGATGGCGGTGTCGCTGCTGGTCGTGGTGCTTGCCGCGTCGCCCACCTCCGCTGTAGCCTAACTAGTGTAAGACCCCGGAACTGCCATACTTTCTTCAGCCTCTCGTCCTGGACCTACAATATCAGCTTGCGGCCGAAAATTCCTTTCCGCCTTTATTTCAGCTATGAGTGCCACGATCTTCTCCTTCAAATATTCCCCCTGCCTCGTAGCCTCCAACGTCTCCGGCGCATTCGCTGGTGTAGCTACTTGTGATGAAGGCGGGGGTTGTTGGAATAATTGAGGAAATCGCTGCTCGGCCTTCCATTTGATTCCAAAGATCCTCTCCTTAAGGAGTTTCTGGCACGTACTGACGACGTCTGGCCGCGTATACTTCAAGTCCAGAGCCTTGATCGCTGGGTCCAAGCAAGCGTGAATTCTGCGTTTAATGGCTTTTGAGTGACGGATCTCGGCATGCTTTTTGGAGAAGACATGTTGCATGGTGAGGTAAATCTCCTCTTCCATCGTCGAAGCCATACTTGGGGGATGGGGTGTTTCCTGTCGTATATCAGAAGGATGCTATATGTACTCAGCCTGGTTTTGGAGGACCAGAGGTTTGTTGGCGAAGTGGATGTGGATGGTCTGAGGGAGTTGAAGTGTCCCAGGGTCGCATCATCTTTCAACAGGTATGTATGTGGCAATGAGCACTTCGGAGAAAGGTTTTGAGTTGTTGTTAGGGCACGCGGGAAAGGCTGGATCCAATGTCAGTCATAACTTCAAGAGAGAAGACCACCTTGATGGAGTGCACCGCAACGCTCCCACAGTAACCTCTCGACCCTACAGACCGAGATGCAAAGCGGATTTCTACCCGTTCTCAGGAAAAGTGAATCAAAAACTCACGAAATTCATGGACATGCTCTTCAACTCGGCGATTTGCCTAGAAGATGCTAAGACGAGGACTCTAGTCGAGCATGGTAGATCACCCTAGAACGTCGAGGAGAAAGCTCAAAAGCATGCGCTCACCGCGGTGTCAAGCCTATGACTTTGGAGAGATAGTTCCTCAAGGTTATACAAAGGCTCTTCAAAGTAGCTGAATGAGTCCCTTGCATAAGATATTCATATGAATGAGGGAATGATGTCTCCGGTTTCCTTTGAGTCTGGTTTTTCCTTCTTGACTGGAGCCCGCCGTTGAGGCCTCGAGTTTGCTCTCCGGTTCTTGAGTCTCATGAAGAGATCATCGTCGTCATCGTCATCGTCTTCATCATTTGTAGGTGGTGTGTTCGTAGCCGCTCCGGCTGATGGGATCGGTTTCGGAGCCGCTGTTCCTCCATTTGAAGGCGCCTTCGCGTCGGGTAGCCGCGCGCTGCTTGGATGCGTCGTTCGTTGCTGATTGCTGGGTCGGCTTTGGACCTTTGCAATGGGTTTTGCTGGGTAAGCCGATCTTGCCGGTCGACTGTGTTCAGTCTTCCTCCTGACCGGAGCCTTGACGGGTCCTCCAAGGTCATCACTCTCATCTTCCGTCGTCGCCTCATCCACCGGCGTCCTCCTCTTCACCGGCGCCGCCGGCCTCCTGCTCTGAGAAGACCTCACCACGCCCCCAAACAGCCCCGAGGCCGATGTCCTCACCCCCGAATCCGTCCTCGTCAGCGCCATCAGCGGCACCTCCTTCTTCTTGGGACTGTGCATGAGCCCCTGCAGCGACGTGCCCCGCCATGGCACGCTCGTCTCGTCCCCGGTGTCCTCGTCGGCGCGGCCGGCGTCCCTCTTTGCGCGGCGCAGCGCCTCGCGCTGCTTCTTCTTAGAGAGCAGCTCCTCCTGGCGTTTGCGGGCGAGCTCGGTGAGGGAGCCGACGACGGGGCGGGAAATGGTCTTGATGGTTTCTGCGTTTTGGGTGCGTGTTTGGGCTTTGAGGCGTTGGTATTCTGCTGCGTGGAGGTGTGCTGTGAAGTGGCCTGCGATTGTGACGAGCTCGTCCTCGACCATGCGATACTTGTCGTCGTTTTCGAGACCGTCTGTCATGAACCTGTGCATTTTTGAGCGCTGCGTACGTCTCAGTGTGGATATTGGGATAAGTACGTTTCTGTGAGAGGTTCTGGCGGTGGTGAAGCCGAAGGGCTTCTGCCTATGAGAGTCCCAAGTCAACGAAAGAAATAATGTGACCAGGCGCGACTCATACCTTCAAGGAAACCATTTGAGCGGGCTGGTTTATGATTCGAGTGATCCAGTGGCGATGCAGCAGCTGTTGTTGCTCGAGACACAGCCCGATTCGGTGTCGCGGTTCTGCGAGGTGTCGTTGCAGTCTGTTTCTTCTGGGTTGCCGTCCGTTCCAGTGCATTACGGTCCCAGGGGAGTCGTCGCGTCATGGCTTAGATAGTGTGTGAAAGGTCCGAGGCGATGAGGCTGTAGACGAGAAACTCTCCTTATCGTAAGGTTTCAAGCCGATGTTATTAAAGTTAGTTGAGATTGAATGAGATGTTCGTTCACGACTGCCTGTAATGAGCAGTCCAATAAGCTCGCTGTGGTTGATGAAGCTCGTCGCGCCTTCCAGGTGAGACTGGGCGGATGCACCGCAAATTATGCAAAAACTGCATAACTATCTCCTAATGCACGCCCCGCATTCTGCATAACTGTCAAAGCATCAATAGAAACTCATCATCATCAACCGAACGAAATGCATCGCAGAAAAGATATCTTGATAGAAAAGAAAAGTACCCGATCCGGGATATGAGTATTTTAAACGCTATGAGCATGCCCCATTTTATCTATCATCCGTAACCCAGCCCAAACAAAATACACGCATCACCAACTTATATCCTTCAACCCAGGTTGAATTCACTGGCCGCATTCATCACAGCCCTCATCTTCATCTTCATCTTCCTCTCCATCTCGCTTGGCTCAGCACCAGTATCGATATCCTCCATCGCGTTGCCACCCGAGGGCCTGCTGTCTCCTCTTCTCTTGCCGGCGTTCTTCTGCTTCATAACCGCCTTCTTGCTGTCGTGGCCGCCACGTCCGATGCCTGATGGCGCCTCACGCAAGCCGTACGCCTTTGCCAAGTGACCCAGGTGCAGCTCGTTGATGTCAAAGTAGACGCGCTCGTCCTTGATGTGGGTCGCGTACGCCCTGACGTGCGACCGGAAGGCCTTACGAGCCTCGTCCAGGAGTTTCGTTGCCGATTCGAGGAGAAGCCGCTGCTCAAGGTGAAGCTGCAAGTTTTCGGCGCGGTTGCTGAAGCCCCTGTCGGTCGCGGGCTGGGGCTTGGTATCCGTCTCAACGGGGAACTCCATGCCTGTCGTGAAGCCCTTGTGCAAGATAGTGTCGTAGAGTTCAGGCTTGGGAGGTGAAGCATTCTTGGATTTGAGGAGGTCGATGTAGCCTTCTTCACAGCCAGGCATGAGGAAGAGGACTGCCTTACCAGGCTTACCGGCACGCGCTGTACGACCGATACGATGGACGTGGTCGTCTGCGCTGAAGGCGGGGTCGTATTCGACTACGAGCTCGACGGAGGGCACATCGAGACCACGGGAGGCAATATCGGTAGTGAGTAGGACTGTCGGGTCTGTGCATTTACTGTAAGACGCCAGCGTAGCCGTACGGACTGGTTGAGGGAGGGAGCCGTGCAGTTTGTGGAGGACAATATTTGTGTTCGCCGCCGATGTGATGTACGCCGAAGACGCGACGGTATTTGCGGTTGCAGACGTTGCGTTATCAGTTGAGCTGTCTTCCTTCTTCGGCGGTTGACGGAGGAGATCGAAGTGATAGTCGACTGAGTCGGCGCAGGAAAAGAAGACGATGGCTTTCATCACCGACCCCTTCCTTGAAAATGTGGACTTCAGAAGTGCTATGAGCGTCACCAGCCGCAACTTGGCTGGCACAATCAAGTAGTTCTGCTTCAGTTGCGCCGGAGCCTCGAACTTGATCTCTTCTCCCTCGACATGCTCTTCTCCTGATGTGGTAATGTGAACCGCATCCTCCAGACTGATCTCGCCAAGCTTCTGAACGTTCATCTTCATAGTAGCCGAGCAAAGAACGGTCACGCGACGCTGTGGAAGGTTGGCGAGCGACACGCCGTTAGCTGTCTTGTCTGCCAAGGGATTTTCACGGATCCTGCCGACAATGGTGCGCAGTTCCGCCTCAAAACCCATCTCCATCAAACGATCGCCTTCATCGAGAACCAGCCACCTCACGGTGCCGACGTCGAGAGTCTTGGTGTGCTCGAGGTGATCGCTCAAACGACCGGGGGTTGCGATGAGGATGTTGACACCTTTCCGCAGGCGGCTCTTCTCAGAGTGTTTGCTCTCACCACCAATGACCGTTGTGCTGACCAGGTACGGCGGGAGCACCTTTGCGAGCACGAGCTCGATCTGCCTGCAAAGTTCACGGGTAGGCGCCATGACAATGGCGAACAAGCCCGAGTCTCTCTTGATCTGTCCCTCAACCGACAGAATCCGCTGGATAATGGGCAGCAGATACGCCAAGGTCTTTCCGGAACCTGTTTGCGCCTGCACAAAGGCATCGCTGTCTTCCTTGATGAGTTGAGGAAGGACCTTGGCTTGAATAGCTGTCGGTGCCTTGAGCTGGATCTTGCCGGAGAGCGTCAACGCCAGTCGTCTTGAGATACCGAGGGCGTGGAAGCTGGCAGCTTCATCGGAAAGCGGCGCGTTTGAAGGCTCAGCGACCTTCTCCTCAACCTTCTCAGCACCGGGTTCATCGAAGACAGTCTTTGGCGTGGGGTTGTAAGAGAAAAGCTTCGATGAGATTTGGCCGTCTCTCAGCTTGTTCGCGATGCTGCCGGGCGGCATTTTTCCAGTCCGGTAAGCCGTCGCATGAGGATGCTCTGGCCGCGCTCGCTTTGCCGGGCGCTCAAAAGAGTCGTCGTCGTCGCCAGGGCGGTCTGACCTCTGGGGTTTCTTGGATCCAGGCGTGTATCTTTGCGGTAGCGGGGCATCGTCTTTTGCTGTTGATGAAGCCTCTTTTTCAGTGCCTTTATTCGCAATCCGGTTGGCCTTATTCCTGTCGCGCCAGCGACCACCCTGAATCTTGACATGGGGCTTGACAGGGCCGCTGCCCATGTCAAAATTGAGAATCATGCCATCGTCCGCCATTTTGTCGACGAGATTTTGCCGTTGGTCGCAAAACTGAGGCGCTGGGTTGCCGAGACTTGGTGGAAATTTTCAGGCAAGCAAAGTCTTATCACTTTCGGTGTTTAGATAAGCCCCACACTCCATCCTGCAAGGGTGCACGGTCCACCGCTAAGGAGGCTCCGACTAGGTACCTTACGCTATGTAATATGCTGCGCAGCAGGTACTTCGCCAGAGTACCTTGCCAGCTTGCGTGGTGAACTTGGAGTTTTGAGGAGGGACATGGAAGTTGACGCCCTCGGCATACCTTTATCAGCATTCGCCAGCTACTATCTCGGGTCCCTCAAGCTTCTGCTCACTCAAAATTTTCTGTACTGCCACCAATGGTTTTGGCGAACGAAGCAATGCTCATACAAGACCTCTTCGCCAAACCAAGCCACTGTCTGATTGATGCCATCCACCACAGAATCTCAATTTGGAGGTCCTCCAAGCCTCAATCGTCTTCTGCCCGTGTATATTCCTACCTGTATTTCTTGCCGTTGAGGTTGACCAGCTACAAACGGAAATGCTATTCTGAAATGAAAGATGCGAAGCTTCGGCTTGCACTTAAAGCCAGGAAACGGAGGCATACGCTTGATACAGCGAGACACCAACTGGCCATCGAGAGGATGGACCACCGCGGTCATTGCTACTCGCGCGGGAAATTTGACGGAGTTGTATTGCGCTGGTGGCCAAAATATATGTATTAAATTGACTGCCTATGGCACAACAGCACTTCAGATACAGCCGTCGCGGACCTAGGAGTGAATGGAAACAATTGCCATCTCCCTCCATGAAGTCTACTAGGTATTGACTATAGCAGGGCAAGAGCTAAGCAACTCCTTCTTCCAGGATTCCAGGCACGCAACACAGGCCATTCTTCTTTCCCCTCGTCAACGACCTTCTCGATTTCTGGAAGTCAATGGACTCATGCCCTTCGGTTGACTTCGCGACTGATTCAGGAGATGATGCATCTCGATTTGCCGCAGTCCCGAAAGTCCGAGGGTAAGATGCCCACCTGACATCAAGAGGATTCTTACCTCTCTCATCCTCATTCTATGGATCATCTTCCAAAATGAAGCGCACCCTCAAGTACAGAGGTAAACCTCTCAAGATATGGGAGACGTAGCGGCACAACTTCAACAAGGCACGCGAGGTATCGTCATCTGATGCAAAGCTTCTGCAATGATCAGCAAACTTCCCAGGAGCCCTGGCATACCCAAAGGAAGTCAATTGTGAGACCTGGCTTTACATAGGAGGTGAGTGTCCAATAGCACATCTGGATCTCGACTCTCATGCCGGAGGCCGTCTACGCCAGCATGCACAATTGAAACCAAAAAAAACAAATGTGCAGCCCAACAGATTCGAGGACAGCATTTCGCGTTCTCAGCGGTTACCACCCAGTAACACCCCCTCCCCCAGATGCTGTAATTCCGCTAATGTTCCTCAGGCAAAAGTGCACTTCTCTGACCAATTGGCGGATCTTGGCTATGCGTCCATCTGCTGCTGGTCTCGTGGAGAAAGGCTCTTGCCGGAATCTTCACACCGCTTACTCTGAGCCTCATCTTGGCGGATGGTGTATCGTCGACGACAACGAACCTGATTCTTGCCTTCCTCGTTCTCTCCATACGTTTCGCAATGTTATTATATGATGTCGATGACGAGACGCTCCGGCTGGTCCTCCAAATGCACTTGGAGGACCTCGAGAGCATCAGGCAGAGCAACAAGGGCAAATGCCGCGCGGACGAGGCCACCGATCTTGATATAGCCATCGAAACCTACAAGTCGGAGATCGAGGCTCATGTCCTACTCGCGGCGGACAGGCGCATGTGCAAGAGTATTGCCAAAGCAAACCAAACCGACGCCCGCCTCATCACCAACCTTGCCAGACAGGAAGACCAAGCTGCTCGAGATAGGACAGCGGCCGTTCGGCTCAGCAACGGGGGGGAACTCGATGAAGATGTGCCTGCAGCTCCTGTCCGGTCGAACAATGCCAAGAGCAAGGAAGATGAGATGTTGCGAAAACTCAAGGCACTCTTCGTCTCTGCCAACGGCGAAGAGGAGGCCCACGATGATGAAGAGGACACCTTAAGCCCCCCAGAATCATCATCATGGGCAGCCTCCAGACTCCAAACCAACCTAACAGCAGCTAATCCCACCAAGTTAACATGCGATAGCTGCACAAACACCTGCCCCTCCACCACAGTCGCCCACCTCCCATGCAACCACAACTACTGCCGCGA